TAACAATGTGCTGACAAAAGTGCTTATGGGTTAGATGGCTTAAAGGGAGAAGAAGGTAGATGAAAAAGCTTGAGGGAGAGGAAAGCTAACTGTGATTAGTTTCCAAAACTACCACTTAAGGCAGCCAGCTGCTTTGACTTGCAAATCATATTGTAGGTTGGTTTCTTGGATGGGAAAGCTTTGTAATTATAGCCTTTAGAAGCTGTGGACCAGGAAGAGAGAAAACTTCCATGGGTTGTAGGGGAGGAAAAATAATTTTCCCTTTACTCTTCTGAGTTCTTAGCTGAGACCCCTGTAATAAAAGACAGATTAACAAGAGAAAACCAATCAGAAGTTTATTAACATGTATACCTTGTGTATACATGGGAGATACCCCGGGAAAAATGAATAATTCCCAAGGTGGCTTAGAATTCAGGATTAAATACCATATTATTAGGGAAGGGGGATGGGGTGTAGACCTCTTAGGGGAGAGAAAAAGATTTTTAGAGAAGATGAATGGGCCCTTACAAGACTAGATAGGAGGTGTGACAGTTTGTGACAGAGTGTGTCTGAGTGTGGTGTCGACTTCTAGTCTACTGTCCTGTGACAAGAATCAGTCTTTAGTGGATGAAACTCCTGGAGAGGGGATTTATAACAACTGAGTTCCTTTTGGAGGATCTGTCTTTAGACAGATAAAGGGAATTCAGAGAAAGCCTGTCCCTACATTTGCTGTTTTTCAGATACCTTTGGCTCAAAACAATCAATATACTAAAGCAGAATATTTCGGGGCGGCATGTCCTGCTGCCCTTCAGGGCGATGTAGGTTGGAGTAACTGTGGTCAGTGATGTACCACCGCTGTGCATTCATCTTGTTTTCCTTACAAAGAGGTCCAGCTGTGGGCTGGACATTGATTTACCAGTAGGAAGATCTAAGACCTGAGAAATCTGCTTGGTTGAATGGAGAGAAAAAAGTCCTGTACATTCTCTTCCTGTATTCTCTCCTGAGAATACACTCCTTTCCGTCCCCACAGTTCCTCCTTAGTTAGGCTGTCAGCTTTTCACTTAGATGTCAGGATGGCTGCAGTTAGTTGTTTAAACTACAGATCCCAAGATTCTTACTTGGTGGGGGTAAAGGAGGGGCCCAGGGGTCTGCATTTTTGAAAAGCTCTCCTTGCCGAGTTCAGATGTGCAGTCAGGTTTGGGAGACACTCATAGATTATTTCCATGAAGCTACATTAGCACCCCTTTTACGTTCTGATTCTTTCTCTTCTAATCCACTGTCCATTCCCATTTCCAGGTGGCATCAAAAACATACACGCGTGCTCCCAGGCTTGTTAGTATCCTTGGCCTGGACAAAAACTTTAGACAATTTCCCATGAAAATGAGCCTGATTGGGCTTCCCTGGTGGCGCATGGTTGAGAGTTCGCCTGCTGATGCAGGGGACACGGGTTCGTGCCCCGGTCCGGGAAGATCCCACATGCCGCGGAGCGGCTGGGCCCGTGAGCCATGGCCGCTGAGCCTGCGCGTCCGGAGCCTGTGCTCCACAACGGGAGAGGCCACAACAGTGAGAGGCCCGCGTACCGCAAAAAAAAAAAAAAAAAATGAGCCTGATAGTCTCTTGCGAGTGAGTTTCCTGAGGGTGAAACCTATAAATAGCTCATCCTGATAACACTTTATACAGAGCCCTCCATATGTTAAACTGTTTTTCCATATTTAGAGGGTTTCATACCCATGAGTGAGAAAAGCAAAGCTTTGGTAAATAAAATCGAGTTTCTCTTTTACAAATACCTTCTGTTATGGATGGCTACATTTACTTAGTTTCTGCAAGTTCAGAGGGTCTTTTATTTCTCATATCTTAGTAGGAGAGGTAATAAAAATTTTCCACTTTAAGCATTCATTATGATTCAGGCACCAGAATAAGTGATTTGCATGCATTGTTTCATCTAATTCTTTCAATGCTTCCATGAATTAGGTGAAGCTCTCTCCATGTTGCAGTGAGTAAACCGAGGGTCTGAATTTTAAGAGATTTACCCACATACAGGTCTTCAGTTTTGGAAACAAGATTTGAACCCAAGTTTGTCTGATTCCAAACTTGTGGTCAGTGAAGTTACTGGTTTTATTTTTCCTCTTTTTTTTCTCTCTTTTGTTCTTGGCTGCTGAATATCCATACAAAAAAAACAACAAAAGGCCATTTCCATTTCTTACCAGTTTTTCAAAAGAAGAGCAAGATTTCCTGAAAATTTAGTAGCACATGCATGTTGTTCCTTTTCTTTTTTTTTCTCTGACAGATTTTGCATAATACAATGATAGCTCTTTATTTCTTTTAACCACAAGTTTTGAAAAATGTGAATCTGAGTTGGAAAAGCAAAAGCCTTGTCACAGTTGGGAAGGTGCTGGTTAGAGAATGCCTGATGAGTTTGGGAAGATGACTTTCTTTCTACATTGTTTTTATCGGACGTTTGAAGCCACCGTGCTACCGCTGGCTTTCTCTTTCATGTGTCCCCAAATGCTGAGAGGTGAGAGGCCTTGGAGCTAGAAAAGAACTAGTTTCTCTCTTTTTTAAAAGAAGAAAGTCCCTGTAAATTATAACACCCTGCATAGCAAAGTCATGGGGTAAATCGCAGTGGGGGAAATTCTGTTTGCTAACTTCTAGGAAATCACAGGGTGTCAGTTAGAGGTCAGCACATTGAGAAACTCCGTCGTCATTTTGTACTCAGCTAGTATGAAGAACCTGATGGCAATGATAAAATGGCATGATCTGAGCACATAGATCTGGGCATGGATCTATAATGTATAGATAGAGGTATAGATAGATAATAAACACCAACACTATTTATTCTTTATTCTTGCTGCCACTAAGAAAACCTACTACAGAACTGAAACCACGAGAAATTTCTTTAACCAGGGGAAGGTTCTTTTTTAATATATCTCTTTCCTACCATGAGGTTACAGGTGTGGGACCAGTTACAGGTGGACAGCTGTGTGGGCAGCATTTGTGAATCTTGCATTGGGAAGGATGTTTCGTGGTCTTGCATCATAAATCATCTGGATGTAAAGGAAACCTTTGATGTAGTCAGTAGTCAACTCCTGGAGAGCAGGGAGCATATCTTAGTTATTTCTTATATCTCTACACGGAGCATTGAGGTGGCACGTAATAGGTGTTTGTTTACCAACTGGCTTGATTTTACAGTAGGTTGACCAGCTCTTTGAGCTACTGTTACCATATATAGCTGTGCTGTTGATCCCTCAGCAGGATCTCTGAATGCTCTGTACAGCCTGCATGACCAACCCATTGGCCTTCTCTGCACCTTTAGTTCTGATTTGTTATTTGCTTGAGCAAATGTTGGTTACTGCTTGAGACATAGACTCTGACTAGGCTGATGGAATAGAAAACATTTACTCAAGTTGCAGCTGAGTTTTTGGATGATAGAGGGTTAAAATTCAGATTGACCTTGAATATAATGGACACAAATAAGCAGAATCAAGACCTTTAGGGAAGTACAACTTTGGAAAACTAAATATAACATGGGGACTGTGTATATGTAAATTTGAAGGGTGGGGGGGGGACTCTTTGGGAGTCAGCAACACGATGCTTTATTTTCTTAATTATTGGGCACACACTGCCAGTTAACCACAGGAGCATAACATGTGGGAACTGCTGGGTAACATTTCCAAAATACTTGGCATTAGTCAGACATTTTTTTAGAATCCTGTGTCCACTTTGGCTGAAGGAAACTGTGGAGAATTTGGCGAGGGTCCAGAGCATGGCAATGAGAGGCAGAGGAGCAATGGAAAATAGGACCCGTTGAAAGAGGCTAATAAATAAGGATTAATTACTTAGCCTGATCCAAAGCAGCTGAAGGGTGATTAAATTAATGGTCTTCTGTTGCATATATAGTTATTATGTGGAAGATGATATAATTATTTCTGCTATGAATAGAATTAGGGAAATGGGTTTACATTAGAGTTAAGGGAGATTTTGAAGTTGCATAAAGAACTCTTGACTTTAAAGATTTTTAGACAGTGGAAAGATCTCAGCTGGAAATGTGAAATCATGGTCCTTACAGGATGGGAATGGGGCGGGTGCCACTTGCCTGTTAGAGTCAGGTGCAGCTGGGATAGAGACTGACACACTTTCTAGATCTCATTTTGTGCTGCTCATCTCACGTTGCGTTTGTCATTTTCAGCGAGTAAATCTGTATTCCTTTTTTGTTTGAGTTTTTTCACAGTTATTACAAATGTAAAGGCCTTACTTTTAATGATTCTGTGATGCATTTCAAGCAAGTGAGAGGTTAAATCACAAATTGAAAATTACTTCATGTGTGAATCAACTTGCTGCTCATTCTTTTTTTTTATTTTAGTTGATTTACAGTGTTCTAGGTGTACAGCAAAGTGATCCAGTTACACATATATATGTATTTTCCATTATAGGGTCTTACAAGATATTGAATATAGTTCCCTGTGCTATAGAGTAGGTCCTTGTTGTTTATCTAATTTTATATATAGTAGTGTGTTTCTGTTAATCCCAGATTTCCAGTTTATCCCTCCCTACCCTTTCCCCTTTGGTAACCATAAGTTTGTTTTCTATGTCTATGAGTCTGTTTATGTTTTATAAATAAGTTCATTTATATCATTTATTTACATTCCACATATGTGATATCGTATGATATTTGTCCTTCTCTGACTTACTTCACATAGTATGATAATCTCCAGGTCCATCCATATTGCCGCAAATGGCATTATGTCATTGTTTTTTATGGCTGAGTAGTATTCCATTATGTGTGTACACCACATCTTCTTTATCCATTCATCTATGGATAGACGTCTACATTGCTTCCATGTCTTGACTATTGTAAATAGTATTGCTGTGAACGTTGGGGTGCATGTATCTTTTTGAAATAGAGTTTTCATCTTTTCTGGCTGTTTGCCCAGGAGTGGGATTGCTGGTTCATATCTGCTGCTCATTCTTATACGAGCCCTTGTAATACTGCCAATTCCAGCTTGCCTTTTCTTTTTCTTTAGAAAACTCACTGCGTGCCCTGCTTGCTTGGTCAACAATGAGTGCCAAGTCTGCCATCAGCAAGGAAATTTTTGCACCTCTTGATGAAAGGATGCTGGGAGCTGTCCAAGTCAAGAGGAGGACAAAGAAAAAGATCCCTTTCTTGGCAACTGGAGGTCAAGGCGAATATTTAACTTACATCTGCCTGTCAGGTAATGAAAATCAGATATGAATATCATTAAAACAACTTCTGTTTTAAAGCAGTTAATTTAAAGGGGTCCAGGAGGGTTATAGCCCAAGGTTTGGATACACCTGCCTTTCCATTCCTTTCCTGTTTCTCTGTTACCTTCTTTGATCCTTATTTGCTCATGGCGCCTTGGCTTTTGATGTTGCCTAGTATGGAAAGGTAATGAAGTGCAATTTTAATGTCCTTTCAGTTTCACTAAGAGCATCTGTAAAGGGTTTGGCAAACACTTCTGTTTGTCCATACTTTTCCTTCACTAGGGCCTTGACAGAAAGTGGGCTATCCTCTGAGATTTTTTGTTTTAGAACACTTCCTGGTATTTGCATAATTGTTACTACCAGCAGCCTGAGTTTCACTGACTTTTCTTTTTCTTAAGAGTTGCCAATAATCAGTAATAGTTGGTCTCAAGATAAATATCGACACTGTATGGAATGTGAGAAAGTAGACTCAGCTCATAAATCACAGCTTTGCCTGACAGCTGTTCCTTGTCAGGAAGAGACATCTGCTCTATTAAGCTTAGAATTTTGTGGGATTACTTTTTTTCTCTTTCCGTTTGTGATTGTAGGATATCTGTGGGACTTACTGTGAATTCATACCAAGTGTTTTGAGATGAAATTTGGATAAGTTTTCCATGGAACTATGGGTGATGCTAACCTGAGCACCTGGAGCATTTGTAATATTTCTGATATTTCTTGTAACTGGGCAATGGAGGAATTAGGCTTACCTTAATTCATCTTTTTTCCAATTTTCTTCAGTTGTGGCTTGGGAATAAAACTTTATCTTTAGACCCATTTTTAGCTTTTTTTTTTTTTTTAAATTAAGCCTCAGATCATTTTTTTATCAGAATTTATTTCAAGATGGAAATAGCTTTTTTTCCAGAAAGAACATGTAGAGATAATAATAGGACTGTATCTTAGTTTAAAATAAAATGGAAATATAACCCTTTGGTAAGAATGCCTTTTCAATGGTTAGAATGAGAATTGACCTTGAAATATTCGTCTCTCTTAAATCCCAAGTAACAATTAGGTTAATAAGATTTGGTGACTGTTGGAAGACATTTGCATTCCTTTAGTGTGCTGAGCAATGCTTGCCATATAATAGGGGTTCAGTTAATATCTAAAGAAGTAGCCTTTCCTAATACCTTCCTAGTATTTTGTTAATGAGGTTCAGGTCTTAAAAATATTTCCACATCTTTAAATTTGAATTCTAGAGTTTTCGCTTATACCAATAATGAATAGAATGCATTGAAAGAAATTTTGTTTTGTATTTGGGCTGAGCTGAACATGGGATGAGCAGGGACACATAATATTCTAATTAACCTCCATTCTCTCAATGTTTCATTGAGATTTCTTGAAGACAGGCAGTTGCAGAAAAGGTGGATGAAGAAAAGGGCTGTTTTGTTTGCCTTTTAGGCACGTGTTATTTGTCAGCCTCTTTCTGATCATGAGGTCTGCAAGAGTGATATGGGGCCTCTAATTCCCTCTCCCGGTGAAAGAGCATGACCATTTCCCCTGCCATACGAGATAATGACCGGGGACTTACTGGATAACTGCATTTCCTTTACAAATCACCAAGACCTTCAGGTTTAAAGCCTGCGACTATGAGAATTACTTTTCTGTTGCATTCTAATGGAGGACAGTCTTGAGTTCTGAAAGTCTTCATCCTTTTCATGGACTTGAATTTTGAGAGGATAGGTTGACAAAGCAGATCTGACATTTAAGCAGTTGATTTAATGGAAACTGGGGCAGGAGAAGGCCAGGCAACTTTCACACCCACAGTGTTTTTGCAGTTTGATTCTTCTTGTAATCGAGAAAGAAGCAGCCACCTTGATTTTCGAACTCATGAAAAGCGTAGAGGCCTATCAGTACATCTTTGATAAGATGTTGCTTTAATTAACAAGTAATTAATTAATTACGCACATATTTATTAAGTACTTTTTATGTGCTGAGCACTCTTGGTGCTGGGGGTTCAGTTAGGAGAAAAACTCATGAAGCTTACCTTGTTTGTTGGGGAAGGAGCAGTAGACATTAATATTTTATTCACTAAAATAAACATAATTATTAACTGGGAAAAGGTTAAAGAGGAAAAATATAGTGATGTGAAAGCAAGTGTGAGGAGGATTTGACCTGGTTGGGAGAACCCAGAGCTGCAAGAAAAGTAGGGCCTCACTGGTTCTGAAAAGAAATGGTGTGGGTGCAGGGAGCATTCCAGGCAGAGGAAGGGCGGCTTCTTTGAAAGATGAACTGGATTCTGAGTTCCTCCTTGTCTCCTGTTTAGTCCTGTTTAGTCTTTGTAGCTCAACTCACATAGGAGGCTGTGAAGTGAAAGCAGAGCCCTGGAATGACAGCTGTTCCTTCCTGCTATTAGTGTGAACCTCCTGTGCTTTCTGGGAGTCCAAGCCCTTCAACTCTTGTGGTTTGGATGATGAAAACCAGCTCTCCATTTTGAATAGGCAAAATTTGTCCAAATTAGGGCAGTGTCTGCAAATAATTTTTAACCACTTTTCAAACAGCATAAAGAGTTATATTCTTTTTTTATTTTTATTTATTTATTTATTTATTTTTTTGCGGTACACGGGCCTCTCACTGTTTTGGCCCCTCCCGTTGTGGAGCACAGGCTCCGGATGCGCAGGCTCAGCGGCCATGGCTCACGGGCCCAGCCGCTCCGCGGCATGTGGGATCTTCCCGGACCGGGGCACGAACCCGTGTCCCCTGCATCGGCAGGCAGACTCTCAACCACTGCGCCACCAGGGAAGCCCCCTATTCTTTTTTTAAAGAGAAGAGTATCAAAGCTTTAAAAGTTTGCCAACATATGCATGTAAGCATGGGTGTTTTATATATCCAGTGTCTTTTAGTAATGATTCTTTGTGTGAATTTTTTTCCACCAGTATTTGGCAGAGTTTATAATCTGAGAGGGAGAGGCCTGTGATCGTGAGACTTATTATTTTCAGAGCGGGTTGTATATTCTCTAGGGGAATCCAAAATGGTGCTGGAGCAAAGGAAATAAGATCTTTCTTGAGTTATTTAGCTATAATTGTGTAAGGAGAGAAATAACCTCTCCAATTCATCCATGGAGCTTTGGGATAGAACTTGATTGTTTCTCATTGGACTTCCTGGCTGGCTTCTTGAATGGTACGCAGATACTTACATACTGAGAGGCCTCTGTGATTAACATTCTTAAAGCATTGGTTTCCAGTTTCTCTTTTCAGCAATGGCTAAAATTAAAAAGGCTGACAATACCAAGTGTTGGCAGGCATGTGGAGCAATTTGAGCTCTCATACTTTGCTGGTGGGAATGTAAAAATGATAGAATTGCTTTGGTAAACAATTTGACAGTTGTTTATAAAGTCAAACTTGCATTTATATGACTCAACAAGTCTGTTCCTAGGCATTTACCCAAGAGAAATAAAAACATATGTCCACATAAAGACATGTACATAGAGGTTCATAACAGTTTTATTTATAATAACCAAAAATCAGAACTCAGATGTCCATCTATATGTGAGTGAATAAAATTATTTTTATAACTATGCAGTGGAATGCTACCTGGAAATTAAATGAACTACCAATACATGCAGCAACATGGATGAATCTCAAAAGCCTTGTGTTATGTGTGAAAAAAAAAATGGAAAAGATGACATGATGTATGATTCTATTTATATGAAATTCTAGAATGGACAGAACTTAAGCTATAGTGACAGAAAGCCCATTGGTGGTTGCCGGGGGGTGGAGTTGGTGATTGATTGCAAAGGAGCATGAGGGGATTTCTTGCAATGGTGTAAGGGTTCTATATGTTGATTGTGGTGGTGCTTACTTGGGTGTATCACAAGTAACCACCAACTCATCAAACTACACACTTAAAATGGGTACATTTTATTACATGTAAATATATCTTGGTAAAATTGATTCTAAAAAGTGTCTTACAGAGTCACTTGTGGGATGATCATAAGAATTAATTAACCTTCTTAGTCTGCTCCGTAAGATGGACAGAGGCTAGCCCTCTCCCTTAAAGGTATGAGGAGTTATCCTAGATGGCCTTTTGAGTCCTCAGACAGAAGCAGCTGTGTATCATGTAAACCTGTGTTTCCATCTATCTGATCTGTGTCTCCATAGTTCCTTATAGCACCCGGCACATTGCTGAGTACAGACACAATAGATACTTAAATGGAAGATGCTATGTAAATGGATAGCTTCCTAAATACCTGATGATAGTATGGACTTTATTTATAACTTAGAGCTGTTAACTCATTCAAACTGTAAAGCAGGCTCTGCCTACAACTATTTCTATAATCAGTTGCCCCCTCCATGAAATTGGGGTCTATAATACTACACTAGACACTGTCTGTGGAGAGTGTTTCTCTCTAAATAAGTGCACTTCTTACCTATCAAAAAAAAAAAAATACTACAGTAGAAGCATGCTAAGAAGTTAATATCAATTTGCTATTAGAGGCCAGTTACCTACTGAACATTCCATAATTTCCTGTTTAAAATCTATTTTCCTGATCCTGTTTTAATTCAGTATGCATGATGTATAATGCTACCCTTCATATACGTAAATGGATAAAAATCTTTCATTGGCTGCTCCCCATAGAAGGAGCATGAAGAAACTTCAGTTTTTGTAATTAATACATTCTCTTACATAAACTTTAATTTTTGTGATTAAAACATTCTCTGTTCTTAAAACAGAGAATCTTTTCAGAATGATTTTAGATTTGTAGAGAGCAAAATTTTATTATTAAAAAAAAAAGTTCTGGGCTTCCCTGGTGGTGCAGTGGTTGAGAGTCCGCCTGCCGATGCAGGGGACACGGGTTCGTGCCCCGGTCCGGGAAGATCCCACATGCCGCGGAGCGGCTGGGTCCGTGAGCCATGGCCGCTGAGCCTGCGCGTCCGGAGCCTGTGCTCCACAACGGGAGAGGCCACAGCAGTGAGAGGCCCGCGTACCGTAAAAAAAAAAAAGTTCTGAGTGATCT